GGATTTTCTTCAGCGCATGGGGCTTGGGACTCGGGGTTCTGGGATCTCAAGTTTGCAAGGGACTTTCGCTGTCATGTTGATGGTGACCTGGCGTTCGAAACTGGGATGCTCGGTTTATCTCAGACGCATCGCACCTCCTCAGATTGTATATGGCTTATATGGCAATTAGGGGGTACGGATGTTGGAGGGCCTCTTAAAAAGGTTGCACGTTGCCGGTGCCCTAGGCCCTTAGGGCTTGGAAGACCGTCCTTACAGAGTGCTCCACAAACACCCAGCCGCCGAGGTCCACACGCACGCCACAGTTGTACAAGGCTGCTGAGCCTTTCATGCCCATGTCTGCGTTCGGGGTAAGCCAAGAAGCAGGTGAATAATCACTAGGCCACTAGGCATGATTGCCTCGTCTCGGCTACAACATGCTACAGCATCACTTGTCTGAATCTTTTTGGTAGCAGAAGCATCTCAAGCCCCATGTCTGAGTGTCCATCAACTCGAAGCAAGTATTCGCAATAAGCCCCATGCACGGCCGACAAACAGTGGATCTGCACCTCGAGATGAACCTTGTAACCTACGGATATACTACGTATTACGAACTAAACATTATCCGAACGTAGAACTGTGCACACTCACACGTAGACCAAGGCACACTAGGAGCCGGCCGAACCGAAAACAGCACAGGATTCTTCAGTTCGGGCATCTGTGGAACGGTCCAACTTCGGGGCCTGCGGTCTCTGTTGTCGCAAGGGGCTTGTACCCACTCCAAATTCTGAGTCAAGCCAATGCCGGAGCACCACGAAACCCCATTAAACTGTTTTGCTGAGGGCTTACCGGCTTACATTGTATTTTTCTTACATGGGCTTCAGGTTCAGGCCGTTCGCCTTTGATTCGCTCGGCCGTCTCACGATCGCCCCAGCTCAAGACCATCTGACCACGATGGGGCTTTGGTTCGCAGATCGGGTTCGGGAGCTTTCGCCGCACGGCTGGTGGATTTGGGTTTGCAATATCGGACATGACGAACATCTCGTCTTGGGAGCTGGAGGAGTAGGGCTTCAAGGCTTCTTAAAACGTGCTTCACCATATTCATCTCGATTCTGAAAACCTACACTACACATAAGTTTCTCTGCATGGCCAGATGCTGAATGTGCTTTGACATCGCTTATGTTGAAGCAGACGTGTTGGTTCGCGAGCCTAACCAACCCTGACACGCTGAAACCTTCGTTGCTTCGCCGTGAAGAATAACCACAGCTGAAACCTTTTCTCTCCCGGTCTCTTTCTCTTTCTCTCTCCCTCCCTTCCTTCCAGCAATTTTAATTAAGTAAAGCAAGACTAAACTCCCAAGATGCAGCCTCATTGTTACCTGGTGAGATCCTTACTCATTACAACACCTTCTCGAAGGAATGCACTTCTCAACCCGCCTTCACGGGATCGAGCCCACAGCCACCCGTCGGCATGGTCTCCTGACACATACTGTTAATGATTGTTTGAGGTGGGTTAGGTCTGTTGGATACTCCTGTCGAACTTTGCGTTTGTAGGTACGCTGCAAGTATGTATCAATGCTGGGGGTCAGCGTCGTCGTCGACACTCCTCGCCAGCGTGTATGTATACCCGTCTGTATGTATCGAAACATGTATGTATACATATACACACATATACAGGTCTAAACATGTACATATAATATTGATGAGTGTGTATACTTGTAAGCATATTGTGATATACGTATATCTAAATCTGTGTATTCTACTTTGTCGCTACCATGGCCACTGATTACCAGCACACCCACAAAAAGTTAAACTTGACACCAAACACACATTCTCCTATCCGTGCAAGTACTTACATGCATACATACCTACATGCATACATGCGCGCATCAATACATACATACATACATACATACATACATACATACATACATACATATGTAATACATAAGACAGATGCACGCATAACGTAACATTTAACATAACATAACGTATCATAGCATGACATACGACAACCAAACATACCTGCATGCATATGTACGTAGGTACATACAGAATCATACAGACATAAAATACAACACAATTCAATTGAATGAATGCAAGTCAATACAATACAATTCCATACAACACATGTATGCACGTGCGCATGTACACACGCACGCATGTGCAAGTGTGTGTGTCGAACTATGGGAAGCTGACGCATGCGGCCAACACTTGGGGAGGCATATATCAAGAGGGCGCAGAGGATTGTTTTTGGAGAGCAGAGTTTAAGTTGCATACAGTTGCCCTTTAGATCCTGTGAAGCAGCCTTCGAGTATTTCGGGAGATTATGGTGATTGAAATATCCTTGTCTCTTGAAGTAAAGGGCACAGGTTTGCTACAACTCTTTTGGAAACTGTCGCTCGTTGAAGGGTAGCCTCTGGTAGCGACCCAGGGCACACGGCCTGGATTAAGGATAACCCGTGAAGGTAGTTTACTCCTTGGGACTGGCAAGATTCCGGCTACATAGCTCAAGTTTGCAGCTGGGTGGCTAGCAGACCGCAACAAAAAGAAGCAAACGAAGTAGACCTGGCTATATAACGCCTGCTGGCACCCAGTTGCTGCCAGGAATGAGCCCGTACTACTGCCACAAACGATTCCAATGGGCACCATGGTGATTATACCCCTTAATACTATCGCTATGTGAGGCAGAAGGTTGAATGTGACACGCTAAACCCGTTGGCCCTGGATGTCCGGAAATCTCGAAATTCGTTTGACGACACAGCCTGCCTTGAACTTCGACGTCTGGGCTACCTAGGCTCAGCAACGATTTTAAATTGCGGGACTTCAGGGGTCATAGTGTTTGCCTTGCGCTTGCTTGAAGGCCTCATGCACACCTACTCTGATGTGAATTTTGGACTGAAGTGATGACAGCTTCAGCAATACCCAGTGCGGGGTAATAGGTAAGAAGACCTCCAAGATTGCGGCCTATGGCGGTTCAGCATCTTTGCAACCAGCAGTGGCAAACACGAGGTTCAAGTGCTCGAAAGTGGTCCCCGAGTGCAACCCACGACCATGACTGATCCGACTGGGAAAGACGTCGGAGTGCTTCGGCACCGGTGTTTTTGGCATACCCACATCTGCTAGCCGCCCTGGAGGTACGACAAGCATACAGGGAGACAGACGACGTTACTCAAAACTCCGTTTATGCAGATGTGTGGTTCAGAGCTCTACAAGCCCCTGAGAAAGAACTGCAGCAAACCACAACACACAAACCCAAGCTCCCAATGCCTAATCTTGCATACTGTGAACAAGTCACCAGCTGCTCTTACGGCTGAGCTCCCGGCATAGTCTTTGGCGCAAAGCACTGCGCAGTATTGCCCACGTCTGTCTTGCCGAGCCTAGTGGAAGCCAAGAACCATAGTCATAACAAAAGGCTGTAAGTGGACTACGAGTACTGCCGCGTCGAGGTGATGATGTTCTTGTCCGTGATTTCAGTTCGAAAGTTGCTACCATGTTGGAATATTAGACGGCATGCCACATTGGCTATGAGTCACAGCATCAACGGTTTCAAACATCCCGCGCAAAGGCACCCCTGTGGCCGTGGTTCCAGGGCAATCCATCGTCTCGCGCAGGCTGATCCATTAATCCAGCTGGGCAGTGAGCATGCTGCTTGAATCAGTCGGCCGGATCCCCATTGGGGCTCCGCTCCAATGAAACAGCTTCGATCAGTTTTGCCTTCGAAGTTGCACTCATGCCACCCAAGGCCCGCCGTGCATGTCTTTGGCTAAGAAGGCAACCGAGTATGCAGTTAACAGGATAACCTAACGTGAGCGCCACTGGTCAACGATTCTAGTAAGCTTGGGAGCCTGGGTGTTTGCCGTGATCGATCGACCTACGCGAGGCCGGCACGGGACAGGAAAGAAAACAAAATCGAATCCACAAATTTAATAGTCGAGTCGATGCTGCTGCCACGATCTTGCTCGCCGACTGGCTGTACATTCCTCGCACTGAGGGCTGTCGAAGTGCACCACACGGCAGAAATTACAGTTATTCGGCACCTATGTCTAAAAATGCAAACTCGAAGGCCACCTCGTCCAGAAATCGCATGCTACGGATTCCCATAGCAATGCGGCTTCTAGTGCGGAGCTCAAAGGAGCTGCTGCGCACAGCAGCAGCCCTGCCGTCCGATGCTTGGTTCTTTTAGCAGATCGCGCGGCAACATCGCACAGTAAGCAATTTCTGTGCATCTTCGGAGCACCTTCTTCCGCAATGAGGGAACAAGCGCTCACATCCACTATGTGATTACTTGGGGTTCAGTTTTTCGCAGCGCAACAACGCTGGCACGGAAAGTGCTTCGAAGCCAAAAAAACTGTGCTCACAGTTGGGGAGGTGTAGGAACAACAGCCCCATGAAGTCTACAGGCTTCCAAAGCAAAACGGAAACAGGTTCCCCGCAGCATGGAACAGGACGCTTATGAGATATGTTTTGCACATGATGTTCTATATAGGGTAGGCATTTATGTAGGTCTGCAGATGCAGCTGAATTTGGCTGCATCCTCTGTTGTAGATGCGAGCATTGGCGAGCCCAGAGGTTCACCAACAACCAAAGTTGCACACGTACTACACGATGCTGGAATTCTATCGGACAAACACTGCCTGCTTGAAGGGTTGTCTGAACCTGAACTCACACCCTTGGCTGAAGTGCATGTTGCGCATGGAAACTAAACATTGACCCGCCTTTTGCAAGGCGAATCTCACTGATAACCTGGGTCTATCTTCCCTTCTCTGGTAGCCAGTGCAAGAGATAATGTAACTTGTGCAACTTTTTCGTTCAGGGAACTGTTTTGTTCAAGTTCCACCGGCACGAGGACTGATCAGTGCTATGATATGCTGCAACAACTACTATCAAATGTATTTATCGTAGTGGGCCATTCAACTTCACTGAGACATTGCACAAACAACGGCAGTGGCATCATTGGCACGCTTTGCTTCTGGAAGCCTGTCGCCAGTCCCAAACCTAAGCATGCCGGTCCTAGACTGGCGTTTACGTAAAGCCCCGGTTTTTTCTCAGCACCTTCTGGCTGACATTAGCAAGTGGTACGGATGCTCCGTCAGTAGCAAAGTATCCTTGGCCATGTCAGGAGAAGTAATCAACAGCAGTCTTCGCGTGCGACTCATGCAGTCACTAAAACTCGTTTGCGCAAGACCCTACAACTCAAAACCGATAAAGCAAAAACAGAACAAGTGGCGCAGCAGGTCTTCCCCACAAAGATCCCAGGCAGCTCCGAAGTAGCTCTCTGCAGCTTCGATCGTTCCTGCCTGCATCAACTCCCCCGCTTTCTGGTACATTTTTCGGTAAACCGCATAAGCAAACTGGCTTCGCTGAATATCGTTTGGAAGGTGTTGCTGCCAGTAGCACCGGAACTCTTGGCAGTGCTGCGGAAGCCTTTGGTAGTCGCCATTTCTCCGAATGTCGCAGTACTTCTGAAGAGCGTTCTCGGCATCGTCGCTGTACTTCAGAATGTGACCCAAATCTCCACAGATGAAGGCAGCTTGATCCAGCTGCACAGATGCTGGCCGTCGAAAATGGTCATTCAACATCTGATAAACTGGACCTTACTCGCACAACTGCCCTCGTGCAGGCAGGTCGCTACATGTAGGTGGTTCTTGACACCTGTGTAAGACAGGTAGAAAGCCCACACACGCAAATTGCCTTAAACTTAAACACACACATATATACATATATATATATATATATGTATATCGTCATAAGCACTCTCACAAGTATGTACCTGTGCAAACTTATATATCACAACATCGTGCAGTGTACACACAAACACGCACAATGGCACACATTCACACGACCACATAGACACTTAGACACAAACACACGCACGGGAGGGGGTGAAACACACGCATCAAAACGCTCACGTACACCTTCGCGCACACATTCGCACGCGCACACACAAACACACATGCACACCCAGGCACGCCCGCCCGCCCGCCCGCCCGCCCACGCACCCACTCTCAGAAAGTCACTCACTGCCTGAGCGGCTGACTGACTGACTCGTTGACTCAGGCACGCAAAGAGAGACGCACGCACAGATAAGTATGTATGTATGTATGTACGTATGTATGTACATATACATATATATATATATATATATATACACTTGTTTTTTGTTTTGTTGTTGTGTTTTGTTTTTGCCTGTGTGTTCCGTGACACGTCAAACGGCCAAGAGGGGGCCTACCTGGTTTCCCTCTCTGTATGTGTATATATATATATATACATATATATACATATATACATATATATATATATATATACTGTAATGTGTGTGTATCATATACTTTCTACGTATGTCTACACGCCCACAACATGCCCTACACACTCACACTCACAAACTCTCCGGTGAGCTGATATTGCCTCCCGGGGCACCCCCATAGAGATCCCGCCACTTGTCCCGGAGTGGCTCAAGCAACTTCGAACCACGCGAGGTGATCCTGCGTTTTTTGAGTTGCCCTAGCTTGGTGTACAAGTCATTGAAAGTTTCGGGGGGGGGGGGAAGCTTCGCTGCAACTGATACTGTATTAGAGCAACGTCTGCACATGTTCACTTTGACACCACCAAGCAAGTATGACTGCGTGGCTCATCAAGTTCGCTTGCTGCTTTGCAGTCTTGCACATTCTCGCCGCATCAGCTTGAAGTTGCTTGCGACGTGGCAGATTAGGACATAAGGTCTTTCGACACGAGGATCATGCACTACTCAATGTGTCTTGCACCCTTGCCGCTGGAAAAAAGGATTGGAGAATGCAGACCGCGATTCAACTCCGAGGGTAAGGTTCTGGCATAGTTTTTTTTGCCTCCCACCTAGCTAGGGCGATTTTGGCATAGTTGGGACATGGGCATTCACACCAAGTTGCAGAATGCTCACGTGTATGCTGACCTGCCTTGCGGCGAGCTTCCCCAAGGCCGATTGAGACTGCTCCTGTCCGTTCGCAGATAGAGCTCCATAGGACTGTAGCTGAGTTCCATGATGTTCCATGCACTTCTGGGCACTTTTCCACAGAGGTGTGAATTTCCACGGCTCTAGGACTGCAGGAGAGCTCCACCTAACGACAAAAATAGGAGCTGAACTAAACTGATTTGAATCTGAAGGAACAATCATCGTCCTGATTATCCGCAGTAGAGTAAAACGTAAAAACCACGAAATAGTCGTATCGGCTGACTGATAACATCTCGTATAAGAATGAAAATTCACTTTGTCACATCCAAGGCTCCGCGTACTGACCCTCTTCGATTCTTGCCGCCGCCGCCGCGGGATGCCATCCGGGGACCTCTTGTGCAAAGTGTCGGGTCTCAACAACCATCTTGCTGACTTGCTGAAATGGCCGTCAAAGGATTTCCTAGATTGGCAGCAACATTCAGCAAAGAAGCCTGAGCACGGACGCATGCTTCTATTTCGGAGCCCTCAAAGTACGAAGATTCGCTTGCCGCTTACCTAATCTGATTTCGACCTGGGACACAAAGAGCTACAGTATCGTTGCTTTAGTCCGAGCTGAACAAAAGCCAAGGCACTCTAATCTTGCTCGGCAGCCTCAAATGTTGGCGGATGCACTGCGAGACTTCTTTCCTGGCTTCACGGCGGCGCATGCTGTCATCTACCAGTGGGCCCTTTCACAATGCCCTTGGCTCACTCACTCACTTCTTCTTCCACTGGGCGTAAGGGACGGGTTAGGTCCCTCGGCCACATGGGCCCCCCACGTGTTATGGGGCTTTGAAGGGACTGTGATAAGTTTTTCTCGGACAAAGGAGGTTCACATAAAATGATGATGAGCGTAAGATAGATATTTTCCCCCCTCGTCACTCACTCGCTCTCTCTGTCTCTCTCTCTTCCTTTCTTCCGCAGGGGTGGGATCCAAACGAGTTGGACCCGCGCCTTGGCGGCCCCCCTCCCATCTGTTCTGCAGACAGAAGGAGGCATTGGGGCCATGAGAGAATGCGTTTCGATCCAGTGGTCGGAACGGTTGGAGTCCGGTTGTCGCTGAAACCTCCCCCCCGAACGCTAGCCCGCATCCCGGCCTCATCTAATTATGCAAGTCCTGCGTGCCTAAGACAACGCTTTAAGTCTCCTACTCGAAAGCTCTTCCCTTCCCGCCGCCAGCTCTTGGGGTCTGGCCTTGCAAGCAACAAACCTGTCTCGCTCTCTCGCTCTCGCTCTCGCTCTCGCTCTCGCTCTCGCTCTCTCTCTCTCTCTCTCTCTCCCTCCCGGGAGCGGGAGGCGTCTTAAGCTTCTGGGGCCGATGGCCCACCCGTGTGTTACAGGCTTGGTAAGCTATCTGTCTCTCTCTCTCTCGCTCGCTCGCTCTTCCTCTCGTCTTTAATCAAAACCTGCCCAGGACCATTCAGCTGCAGCGTCTGATCGCCGTGTAGCTTGTTGTCCAGGGACAGCTGGTAGATCAGTCCCAGCTGAACGGTGACATGGTCCTTCCTGAGAGGACTGAAACGGTGCCGCATCTGGAAGCTTCTATCTGGCTATATGCCACACCCAAGCTGGTGCATGGAAGGACTGACTCTCTATATATATATATATATATATATATGCTCACGCCCCCCCCCATATGATCCAGCCGAACCTGCTTTTTGTAAGCAGTGGATCATGGGACGTGGGCAGCCTCGGATGCGAAAACATCGGCAGGGATCAAATTTCCCCAAAATTCCTGAAACCTGAAATGCGAAAACATGGGCAGGGATCAAATTTCCACAAAATTCCCAAAATCTGAACAACTATAGCACCGCATTTCCCCCATAGATGCCGGGATTTTAAGAATTTTGGGGAAGTTTGATCCCTGCCGATGTTTTCGCATTTCAGGCTTCAGGCTGCAGGAATTTTGGGGAAATTCGAGCCTGGATGCGAACACATCGGCAGGGATCAAATTTCCCCAAAATTCCTTGCCACCAGGCTCCCCCTAGATGCCAGGATTTTAGGAATTTTGGGGAAATTTGATCCCTGCCAATGTTCTCTCATTGCAGGCTTCAGAAGTTTTGGGGAAATTCGAGCCTGGCAACACTTTGGCAACCTCAGATGCGAAAACATCGGCAGAGATTGCAAATGTCACCAACATTCCTTGTCCCCGCATTCCTCATAGATGCCAGGATTTGATTTCTACTGTGTTATTGTTATTAGTATTTTTGCTGTTAATCTTAATATGTCTATCTTTTAATGATGATACTACTAGATTGGCACTATTGTTCTCATTCGTGGTAATGCTGATAGTGGTGGAATACATGTTGTCCCTATGACCTGTTGTTCTTGTTGCAGTTTGAATTGCAGCAGTACCAGTAGCGGCAATATTGTGTTTAGTAGTTGTTCTTGTTGTATAGATGTGGCTGATTTTGACAGCTAGTCGAGGCTTTTGATCCTGCCTTTAAACAATCCTTTCTAAATCTATGG